GAATGGAAAGCCCTGAAGACATGACTGTTTCAGCAAGGCAATTCATGACCCCTTTTCTAAGTTGGATTGCTATTTTCTACTTGTGGTTGTTGTTTCCTTAGCTATTCCTACCCACTGATTTTAGCTTGTCTGCTTTTTTTAAAGCTCTTTTTGTAATGTAGTTGTAAGTTCCCTAGAATTGCCATGGCAATTGAGGTGGCTTGCAAATTGATTAAATAAATCAATAAAAATATAGTTCTACGGAATCGGTCAAGTGACTTAAACTTGTATCTCACATTTTACCACTCAAAGACTATGTTGATGTTCTCACACAAAAGTCTGAATTGTGTAGAAAATTAGCGTTCAATTCATTGCAAATCTTGATCATTCCTTTTCCCCCTCAGGCTCTCGTGTCCTTTGAGGAGGTAGCTGTCTATTTCTCCAAGGAGGAGTGGGCTCTGTTGGATCCTGACCAAAAAGCCCTGCACAGAGAAGTCATGCTGGAGAATGCAGTAAATGTATCTTTTCTGGGTACGTCTCCCCTGCTGTGCCCTCATGCTCCGAAGAGATACTTCATGCTCAGATGTCACCAACACATTCCTCAATCAGGCATCTTCTCTTGGCCAGCGGGAGAAGGTCCAAGGAAGGGAATAGATTAACAACTACCTGGTTGAATACATAATGTGATTACTTGTGATACTTGAGTGTGTTTTCATTAGAGAATGTTTGAGTTTCTATCTGATCTAATTCAATGTCAAACCTCCTCCCTTTTTTCCACAATGTTCCTTTTCATTTCCCCTGGATTTCTGGCTGCTGCTTGTGGGGTTTTCATGGGATGACCAGGGTGCCAGTGTCTCAGGAAGCACCCAGCCCCATTTCCCCAGGACAGGGTGCCTCAATATATTTTGACTCTGGCTTGCAAGCGAGAATGTCTGAGACTCTTGGACCCATCGTAGCCCAGCCATGTCTCATTCGACATTGTGGAGGACATGAGGACATGATGAAACAGGACCACTCACAGGTGTATTTCATCAGACAGATTAGAGCTCATCTCTCAGGGCAGGGCACAAGTTACACCATATTTTTGGACAACTGCAGAAATAGAGGAATACCCATTAATATGGCTGTGAAGCACACACACACACACACACACACACACATTATGAGCCTTGAGATTCTGGATGAAATGTTTCATGTTGTGGAAATTCATCATATTGAGTTATTAGATCAACCACAGGATTATGGTGATTGCAGGAAGAAAAGAATGAATAGGAAATGGTTGGTAGTCCACAATAGGTAGGAAGTGACAGGTTGCAAATTATATTTAGTTGACTGTCCCCTCCACTCCAATTGTCCCATTTGGCCCCACTAGAATTAATGTTAAGGCTTGTTTCTGTGTTATTTTCTACTTGATACATGTTGAGATTTCATACAAAATATATATATAATTAATTTGAGAGAGGAACTGGGACAGCACACACTGGTGGGTTGGTTTGTATAAGCTGAATAGATTTTTTAATGGTTTCTACTACTGAAAAGTAGACACTGTCAATTTGTATGCCATGCAATTTTGTACATATGAACTTGCGCCTATTTGATTTTCCTGCAATCATGATTTTATGTTGGTCAGCAGAAGAGCCTTTAAAGATTCTGAACAGCAGGTTCTAGTTTGATCAGTATGTCCTTTCACTGCGTTTTCCATTCTTTGCAGAAGGAGCTAATGGCCAGGAGGATGAGAATTATAGGCCACAATTCCAAACACTGCAGCAGGAAGAAGAAAAAGAGAAGCTGGGACATGAAGTGGAATCAAAAAGAAGTGAGAAGTACCAGTCAACTAATGAGAGAAAGAGATGTGTGACTTCCCCATGTGGTCCAATTCAAGGCTTTCTTGTGGAGCAAAATCACCAAGAGAAAACAAAGAGAAGGTGTTTGGGGAAAAGAATGATCATCTGCAAAGAAAAATTTGATTTAAACAAATATTACACAAATCACACAAAGAGAGAACAGTATCAATGCAGAGATGTCAAAAAGTCTTATAGTAGGACTGTTTCTATAGATCAAAGCGTCAACATGGGAGAGAATCTGTATAGGTGCATGGAATCTGGAGAAAGCTTCAGCAACAGCAGTTCCCTGATTTCCCATAAAATAAATCACAAAGTTGAGAAACCATATAAATGTATGGAATGTGGAAAGAGTTTTAATCAAAGGAGTAACTTGATTTCCCATAAAAGGATCCACAGCAAGGAGAAACCGTATAAATGCACAGAGTGTGGGAAGAGCTTCAGAAAGAGCAGTTACCTTACTTGTCATAAAAGGATCCACACTGGGGAGAAGCCTTATAAATGCATGGAGTGTGGGAAGAGCTTCAGTCAGAGTGGCCACCTGAATCCCCATAGAAGGAGCCATTCAGGAGAGAAACCATTTAAATGCATGGAGTGTGGAAAGAGCTTCCGTGAAAATAGGTCCCTTACTTCCCATAAAATGATCCACACAGGGGAAAAACCATATAAATGTATGGAGTGTGGAAAGAGCTTTAGTGAGAGCAGCCACCTGATTTCCCATAAAAGGAGCCACTCAGGAGAGAAACCATATAAATGTATGGAATGCGGAAGGAGCTTCATGTGGAACAGTCAACTTATATCTCATAGAAGTGTTCACACAGGAGAGAAACCATATAAATGTGTCGAATGTGGGAAGAGCTTTAGTCAGAGCAGCCATCTTAGTTCTCATCAAAGAATTCATACAGGGGAGAAACCATATAAATGTGTGGAATGTGGAAAATGCTTCAGCAACAGCAGTTCCCTTTCTTACCACAGAAGGATCCATACAGGAGAGAAGCCTTATAAATGTGTGGAATGTGGAAAATGTTTTAGTCAAAGCAGCAGTCTGATTTCCCATAAAAGAATTCACACAGGGGAGAAACCATATAAATGCACTGAATGTGGGAAGAGTTTCCATGGAAATGGGTCCCTTCGTTCCCATAAACTGATTCATGCAGGGGAGAAACCATATAAATGCACAGAGTGTGGAAAGAGCTTCAGTCATAATAACTCCCTTCGTTCCCATAAAAAGATTCACACAGGTGAGAAACTATATAACTGCATGGAGTGTGGAAAGAGCTTTACTCATAGCAGTCATCTTACTTC